CAAGTGTGGTAGTGTTCATCCCTAGATGCATCATCCATACAAGTTTGTTCAAGGTAGAGCTTATAGTTACTTGGGAATAGACCTGCTCCAAAAACTTTAACATGGTCACTCATCTGGAAAATCTAGGTCAGATCCAGCATCCGAAGCAAGTGTGGTAGTGTCCATCCCTAGATGCATCATCCATGCAAGTCTGGTCCAGGTAGGGCCAATAGTTACTTGGGTATGGTCCTGCTCCAAAAACTTTAACATGGTCACTAATCTGGAAAATCTATGTCAGATCCAGCATCTGAAGCAGGTGTGGTAGTGCCCATCCCTAGATGCATCATCCATGCAAGTTTGGTCCAGGTAGGGCTTATAGTTACTTGGGAATGGACCTGCTCCAAAAACTTTAACCTGGTCACTCATCTAGAAAATCTAGGTCAAATCCAGCATCTGAAGCAAGTGTGATAGTGTCCATCCCTAAATGCATCATCCACGCAAGTTTGATCCAGGTAGGGCTTATAGTTACTTGGGAATGGACCTGCTCCAAAAACTTTAACCTGGTCACTCAACTGGAAAATCTAGATCGGATCCAGCATCCAAAGCAAGTGTGGTAGTGTCCATCCCTAGATGCATCATCCATGCAAGTTTGGTCCAGTTAGGGCTAATAGCTACTTGGGAATGGACCTGCTCTAAAAACTTTAACGTGGTCACTCAACTGGAAAATCTAGGTCAAATCCAGCATCCAAAGCAAGTGAGGTAGTGTCCATCCCTAGATGCATCATCCATGCAAGTTTGTTCAAGGTAGGGCTTATAGTTACTTGGGAATGGACCTGCTCCAAAAACTTTAACCTGGTCACTCATCTGGAAAATCTAGGTCAGATTCAGCATTCAAAGCAAGTGTGGTAGTGTCCATCCCTAGATGCATAATCCATGCAAGTTTGGTCCAGGTAGGGCTAATAGTTACTTGGGAATGGACCTGCTCCAAAAACTTTAACCTGGTCACTCAACTGGAAAATCTAGGTCAGATTCAGCATCCGAAGCAAGTGTGGTAGTGTCCATCCCTAGATGCATCATCCATGGAAGTTTGGTCCAGGTAGGGCTTTTAGTTACTTGGGAATGGACTTGCTCCTAAAACTTTAACCGGGATGCCGACACTAACGCCGATGCTGACACCGACGCCAGGGGTATAGCATAAGCTCATCTCGACTTCATCAAGGTGAGCTAAAAATGCATCCCCTGAAAAACTGAAGGCCTATTTTAAGACAAATAACTCCGATTTTGATAACGTACCATGAATCAATGAAATGCTTGATTTTTCTACTCTGGTGTAACCACGGTTGTATGTTCGTTGCCCTAAAACTTGTTCGCCCTTGACGCCGTTCGCCCTCATTCCTGTTCGCTCAGAGTTCGATCGCCCTAAAACTTGTTCGCACAGGGTCTGTTCGCCTTATTTATATTGCAGAAAGTTGAATAATGAACCAATGGATTTTTTAAATCCCCAGGGGTATTGATTTCAATAAACTTGAATCTACACTACCGGAAGATGATTCCAAATCAATATGACTCATTGTGGCTTTGTTGTTCTTAGAAGAAGATTTTTAAAGATTTTTTTTCGATATATTCATATGTAAATCTTAGATCCCCCATTGTGTCCCCACCCTACCCCCGGGGGTCATGATTTGAACAAAATTGAATCTACACTTCCTGAGGATGATTCCATATCAGTATGACTAATTGTGGCTTTGTTGTTCTTGAGAAGAAGATTTTTAAAGAATTTTCCTATATATTCCTATGTAAAACTTTGATCCCTCATTGTGGCCCCACCCTACCCCGGGGTCATGATTTGAACAAAATTAAATCTACACTACCTGAGGATGATTCCATATCAATATGACTAATTGTAGCTTTATTGTTCTTGAGAAGGTTTTTAAAGAATTTTCCTATATATTTCTAAAATAAATTATATGTACATTGGTACATAAATTGCACACAGGAGACAACAGACGTATGCATGTGGTCACACTATATAAATACCTGTACTATCAAAGACCTGGCAGACCAACAGAAATTAACGTATCGGTCCTTTAATTGTTTTCAAAACATAATGCAGATTGTACATGATCCCCTAAATTACAGTGACATTATTAAGTATAATTAAATCAATTAAGCATGTAACAGGTCTGGGCGGCCTCCGTTTTTGGAGGATAGCTAAATTCAATATGGCGGCCAAAATTTTTACCATATATGGAAACCACATTGCATTGTGGGATAGTTTATCCTCCGATTTCAGATGATAACACAGGTAATTTTCAAACACCTCGTGCCTACCTTTAATCAAAAAGTGCAAGCACCAGAGTACATGCAAATGAAAGTTCAAACATTAAGCTATCGATTGTATGTGGCGATTTGAGATTCTATGTCTAGATATTTTGCAAATTATTTTCAAAGTTAGCACTTTTTGTGCTCCATTATTACTGAATATTTCTTGTTATTTTGTTTTATTTTTTATGATTTTTCCCTATTTAGACAAATAAAAAAGGACTTTAATATTTCTTTTATATTTTCTATTAATTAAAAAAAATGAAACACAAAAGGAAACGCATTTTAAGAATATATAAAACGAAAAATATACTCTGCCTTATAATTTAAGCAAATAAAAGTATAAATGAATTGAATGAATAATTATAAAAATAAATAAATAATTTGAATAGCATAAGTAAATAAAATAAATAATTTGATACGTTTACTAAGAAAATAACATATATTCATACAGCCATGTGTATACATAAACAAATAAAATATTACAAAGTGATGTGCTTAAGAATTATTAAATATTACAAAGTGATGTGCTTAAGAATTATGAAATGAAAGAAATAATAAATGATTAAACTTAATTTTTCAAAAAAAAATTGTTTATCAAAATTTCTAAACTGCTTATCACATAATTATGGTGCGTACTGGAAAATCAGCCTGGTTATAATTAATCTCAGTCACAGGCAGGTAAGTGCAATATTTGTTTTCCATGCTGTATACCGAATAACAGATTGACGGCAATTACAAAAATATAGTTATATTGATTTAATATCTGGAATTATCCATCATCATATGAAATTGTACCTTTTATTTGTTTTGATTTCGAAATCAGTGTACGGTTCATAAATGTAAGAGTTGCTGTTATTTGTTTGGTTAAGAGTTTGCCCTTAGGTTTGAAAATTCCGGTAGGTGGCAAGACCGCTATCCTCTGTTTTCAGAGGATAAAATCTATCCTCCAAAAACAGAGGCTGCTTAGACCTGTGTAAAGAGCATAAATATCACATTTAGTATATAGGTCTCTGATTTGAATTAGATCTATTTATAATTAAGATTACCGTAAATAAAAAAAATACTGTAGCAACATTTGAAAAAAAAACCCACCAAGTTGTAAAATATTAAATAAAATTAATAATAAATGTTGATACTTACTATATACTGTATATATAATAGGGCGAACGAGATATAGAGCGAACAAGAATAATGGCGAACGGACCCTGCGCGAACGGACTCATGCAAACAGGTAGATAGGGCAAATGAACCTGATACCTGTAACCACCAAACATTTTAACAGGTCTGGGCGGCCTCCGTTTTTGGAGGATAGCTAGATTCAATATGGCAGCCAAATTTTTTACCATATATGGAAACCGCATTGCATTGTGGGATAGTTTATCCTCCGATTTCAGAGGATAACACAGGTAATTTTCCAACCCCTCATGCCTACCTTTAATCAAAAAGTGCAAGCACCAGAGTACATGTAAATTAAAGTTCAAACATTAAACTATCGATTGTATGTGGCGATTTGAGATTCTATGTCTAGAATTTTTACAATACGCTTTCAAAGTTGGCACTTCTTGCACTACATTTTTACATAATATTCCTTGGCATTTTGTTATATTTTTATGCTTTTCCCTATCAATACAAATAAAAAGGGACTTTAATTATATTACTTTCATATTTTCTCTTAATTTAAAAATGAAGGAAAAAAGAAACACAGAAGGAAATGTATTTTAAACACAAAATATACTCTGCCTTATAATTTAAGCAATGAATGAATATAAATTAAACAGATAAATAAATAATATTATAAAAAAAATATTTGAAAAGCATATATAAATAAATAAAATAGATAATTTAACATGTTTACTAAGAAATTAACATTATTATATACATGTACATACATAACATATGTATATATAAATTAAAACAAAATATTACAAAAATGATGTGTTTCAGGATTATTCATTAAATGAAATACTAGTAATACTTAAACTTAATTTTCAAAAAAAATATTTATCAAAATTTGTAAACCATTTTACACATAATTACGGTACCAGAAAATCAGCTTGGTTATAATTAACGTCTCAGACAGGTAAGGGTTATCGTTGTTAACTAAATTTTAAAGTTTAATTAAAAGTAAATAATTGACAGCAATTACAAAACAAATGTTATATTGATTTAATATCTAGATTTATCCATCATCACATGAAATTTTACGTTTTATTTCTTCTGGTTCATAAACTGATAAATGCAAGAGTTGCTGTTATTTGTTTGGTTAAGAGTTAACTGCCCTTTGTTTTGAAAAGTCCGGTAGGTGGCGACACCTCTATCCTCTGTTTTTAGAGGATAAAATCTATCCTCCAAAAACAGAGGCCGCCTAAACCTGTTTAAGGTGAATTTTGACAAAGATTAGCGATGAAATTACAAAATTTTTAACCAAAGAAGAGATAAGACCCTATTCTTATAAAATCACAATAAAAATAAGCTTAAAGTTTTTGCTAATCGGTTAAATTTAATTACGAATCGGTAAGTACCACGAATCCATGAGATACAAGGCTATATTCACACTAAAACTGTAGGAGGAGTAGCGTTTTGAAAAATTGTTTACAGACGGACAGACAGACGGACGACAGACACCTTACTATCGCATAAGCTCTTCTGGTCTCTGACCAGTAGAGCTAAAAATTATTCAATAAAAGCATAATTACTTGTATGTTACGAATACATCTTCCCGCCAAATATTCCGGTTGTCAGGTGTTTTCGTCTCCTGGTAATTTCGGTCTTCTAATTAATTTCTGCAGTGCTCATGTTCATGTTGCATGTAGGGCGAGTGATCTTCTTCCTCTCTGAAATTAAATGACAGTTTTATCAAATGAAAATATTTTGAGGTCCCCTACCTCTGAAGTATTCAATAAGAAATGGGTCAGCCTTTACTTAGTTACAAATTTCGGACATATCTTACAAGTCCCTTCAAATTTGTATTAGAAATATGGAACTTTTGATCATATTGACCTCTTATTAAATTAATTATTTATAAGAACTCCTATAAATTACATATACCAGCAAATGTAAATGCTTCCATCATATTAATGATATTTACTAAGAAGTCAAAAATATTACGCACCGTAGCAAACGTTTCCAAGTAGAGTCAGTATCATTACCAGCTATCCATTTTATCATATTTACATTATTAAATACCATTATATTATATTGAAAATATCTAGAAAAATAATTCACACAAAACATCTTAATTTAGTATGTAACTAATTTGTAATGTGATTTGTAATTAATACGAAAATAATCTTATTTTAATTGTACCAATATGGCTTCCAAAAGCAAAAGTTCGAAAACAGCAGTGTCAAAAGATGATCTTAGGCGTCTTATGAGAGAAAAACTATCTTGTACAAAGGAATCAAAAATCAACCATCCGTTAGCTAAGTGAGTACATCTCAAATCAAGGTCTTCGGTAAGGGTTAATGTACGAGTTAGTAGCGCTCCATTCCTTAAAAGTGATGGAGCCGAGGCCCCGAAGGGCCCGAGGCCCATTGCTTTTAAGGAATGGAGCGCTACGAGTATATTAACCCGCGTAAAATCCACCTTTTTAAATGCTTGTAATTATTGTTTGTTAATATATAAGAAAGAATATTTATAAGATACATTGTAAATATACATTATATATACATGGTCATTTAACCCCCGTTTGGTGGTCAATCACCCATATCGGAGTCGGTATTTACTGACCATTTGGGAGAGAAAAATCGTTTTGTTCAATTCTGTGGAATGGGGTGAAATGGCGCATAATATTAACTCGTGAGGAATAAAATATAGACATTTATTGGTACTATGAACAATAAAAATCGGAAATTCAATGCGGAGAATTTCGCGCAGTGTCGTTCCATTTTTTGACCAAATCGTCACCAACGTAAACAAGTACAACGTTTCTGTGTTTTTACTTTAAAAAGAAATATTCTCTCCTTCCCGAATGTTGTTGCACCTGTTGATCGTGTTTCTAACTTTCTATTTTTATCATCCGGGCAACCAATCAAATAATTTAAACCAATAAAAAATGATGATCTTTTTCGAACCGGGTCAAAAGTTTGATTTAACTACGGAGGCACATTAGTGTCAATTTTCAATTAGGAAATAAAAGGAAAGAGAAAAATTTGCTTTTTATTTCGTTTTATTTTGTACGCGATGGCTTTATTCCTTATAAAAATAAAATGTATAGTGAGATCATGATATAATAATTGCTTCAAAATGATGTTCTTGGAATGAAAACAAGAATAATTGCAACTGTCACTTTGTAAATCTTTTATTCAAAATCATTGAATAAATATAGTAGATTCATCACAAATATGCATACTAAACCACAAAAGGTCGTACAGAAATCGCAACTTCATCCTAAAAGTAAATAAAGAATAAATGTTACATTCAAATGTAGAAAAAATGAATATTATAGCAATAAGTGCCCACCATACCAGTAATGTATGAGGAGCTCGTGTTTAACGGGATTCTTTTGAGATTTATTTAGACGAAGATCCAAAGATCGATTGAATGTTAACTTCTAAAGAGATAAACCACTGGTCTAAATAGAATTTTTATTAAACTAGACACAAGAAAATATTTTTTTGGATTGATTAAGCAAGAAGTTCGGCCGTCACGGACAACTGTAAGTATCGTTTTTTACGAAGTTCCACAGAAATTACACATGGAAAATCGACCGAACTGTATTAATTGTGCAAGGAATATGTATAATAAAATTCCCCGAGGCCTATACGAATGCGCCTTTTCTTTATTTTTATAAAAATTGGATTTGAATAAAAAAGACCACCATTTGGTCAGTAAATACGACTCCGATATGGGCGATTGACCACCAAACGGGGGATAAATGACCATTTGGTGGTGTGTGCCCAACCTGATTAACATATTCAGGTCCAGCACAATCTCTTGATTTAGCTATATAGCTTGAAAAAGCTATATAGCTTTATTAAGCTATTTAAAATAGCTTGATAAAGCTATTTCTATGCAGTTTTTCAGAAAAATGTTTTTTGTAAGAAATAGACAAAAAGGCACAAGTATTTGACTATTCATATACGGTACAGCTCACGTGTATCTTCTGGAAAACACCGGCTACGGTGGACCCTTGGTCCACGCTTTTGCATGGACTTTGAAAAATGTCAGTGTCTTTGATGTTTCGTTTTCAGCGCTAAGCTGGCACACGGTGTGACATGGTGTGTACACGGTGGGACACGGTGCGTTTGCTCCGTGGAACTCCGTGCTGGTTAATCAACGTTAAGTGGTTTGAAATTACTTTAAAATAATTCATTGAAGATTTTAGAATAAAAATCATTGAAATGCATATCATCCGCAGCGTGCATTTTCCTACTTTTGATATTGTACTGACGTGTCAATGAATTTAACAAAGACAGAATTTTACCATGCAGTCAGCAATCTTGTGTTATTTGGAAGATATCTTCTTAAAGATTATTTTGTTTGTAAAACAAAAGCTTAATCTAAATTTAAAAAAAAAAAAGAAAGGAATATTCTTCATTTGTACTATGCTCAGGAAATTCAAGTGGAATTGTCAACTGATTATCTTATCCGATGTACTGTTTTTTTAAATTATAAATTACTGTAGAAACTGGTGTATATGTAAATAATTACTACATCATGATACGACACAGAAAATATATTGTTTAATTTAATTTGAATCGGATGAAAAAAAAAATAGTTATGAAAAGATTGACTTAAATTTCCGTCCGGTAATGGAACCCATATTGAGATGAGACCCAATGTAGTCTCTGTGTAATGAGTAAATCTCTGCCCAGCCCATCAGAAAATATGAAATGTTGATATTCAGGTATTGAAGATGCCCCACTTTTTCATCTGTGTCTGTTTGTAATTGTTCAGAATTATGTGTAAAATATAAACCTTAATATTTAACTTGCATTTTGTGTACAGATCGAAGCATTATGGGCACATTTTTCACAAAACTTGTCGCCAAGAATAATCACAATATGTAAACGATAAGATGTAAAACGTTATAATTATGCTCAACAATTGTCAATGACCTCGATAATGGAAAAAATTTCCAATGATACTATTCAATGAAAATGATATTTCTGCAATATGTTCTATGTTAAACAATGAATCGATGTAAAAAGCCGAACAGTTTTCTTCCGTAATGTGTATGAAAAAAGTCTGCTATAATTGTTATTAGGTTCACTGCCTAACTAAGCATATGCATAGGAGATATGAAAAACTAGATTGAATATTTTATATTTTAATGTACCTAGCGGAGATTTTTCAAACCATTAAATAAAAGCAAGCATACTGTATATGTGCTCTCCCTACATGTAAGAACAGCCCCCCCTTTCCATAATGAGTTTTATGGATAATTTCTACACGGACATGTTAAAAAAAGAACAATATTTACATATGCCTATTTATTGTATTACCTGTCCTTTTTAAGGATTTATTCTAATCCTTTTCAAAAATAGCATTTTAATGATAAATAAAATCAACGAAAGAGAGACAATTTTACGACATGGAGAGTTATGAGAGAGAGTTATGATTTCTTTTTTTCTTCATTTCACCAGTAAGTTATGTTACAGTATATAACGACTTTATATAATCTAGATACAGTTTAATAATATTCGAATAATATTCGTTTGTAACTGTAACTTGTTTTTTAAAAATATGTTGCTGTACTAAAAATTCTATAAACAATTAAATAAATAGTTGTTTATTTTTCAAGTTCCAATTAACTTTCTGACACATGTAAGTTTCAAAGCCAGTTGAGGTGTATAGTATACACTCGTCTAGAGTTTCAACATGTGAATAATGTCCCAAGGGTCACAGCAACTGAACGTCCCAATATATTTTTCTTCTGAACAGGTGTGAAATATATTAGCCAAGGAGCGACTCCATACATACACCAGAAGTTTCTGCAATTCATTGATATCCGGTATTTGATTGACAGGTAGAGCACATGGATTCCGTGTGTGATGCGTTGAAGTTGTACCTAAATTGCACCGATTTTATTTCGTTTCGATTAATAAAAACTGGAGGTGAATTATGATTTCTTAAAAAAATTTAAGAGAGATACATAATATACATGTATATGAGAAGAAACAAAAAAAAAAGCCAGAAGGATGAACCTGAAAGTAAAATTTCTCTTTCTCTCTCTCTTGTATCTTAACATTCTAAAATATGGAATTCAAAATAATTTTTTAATTATTATGAAAAAAGTGAATAGTATATAACTTGTAAAAGAATTTTTAGAATGCTGCATTGGCAGTTCAAGCGATTTTTTTTTTTACTTTTCGTACTGATCGTAGAAGATTAAGTAGTAATAAAAAAAATACATGTACCCAGGTAGAAATACTGACACTTACATATTCGACAGAAATAAATGTTCAAACATTGAATTTTCTACATTTATGTCTCTTAATGTCAAGTTAAATCAATGGATGCATACAGCTGCTTGATTTTCATGTGAATTTGCCGATTGTACGACTACCAAACTGCGTATAAGATTTTTTAGTGAATGCTACGTGTTTTGCTTTTTTTTTTCTTGCATGTACATGTACTTTTTCTTCCTCACATGTAGCAACTTAGTATCTTCATTGATAAGTGATCTACACTTTTTATATTATTTCTGCAAAATAAGAGTTTATTCATTTACCTTATGAATATCATAATATACTGACTCGACATTTTTTTTCACTATTATTATTTACGATGTAGTGATCAGATGATGCTAAATTAGTTGTCTGAAATCATAGGTATTATTTGTAAATGCCTTTACTGTCAATACCTTTAATACCATATTATTTCACAGAGAAAATAACAACTAAAATTATCAATCCGTATCTATGTTTGGCATTGAATAATTATTAAGTTCAAAGACAATGTACTTGTACTTGGATTTGTACCTGCGCACTTATAGCATAGGTCAGAAATATATTAATTTGCACAATCGACATGTAGGTGTTTTTGTTTTCAAATGAATATCAAATATATATTCAACAGAAATCAAAATAAATTTATTCAATTGATATATACATGTATACAGTCAACGGTGAACCAAAGTCTACACTGAACGCCACTGTTATTTTACGACCTTACATGTATGATAGTGAGCTGTTTGAATTAAATAATTTTTCATTTATTATTTCTTTTTAGCAATTAAACAAACATACCTATGATTTCAATTCTAAAATTATTTTTATAAACAAACCATTTTCTTCCGTAATTTTCTTGCACGGTGGAACACGGAGGGTCACCCGATGAAACGGTAATGTCCACGGTGTGACACGGTGCATCTTTGGTGTAATCGCAATATACGCACACGGTGGAACTCTGTGTACACGGTGTAACACGGGGTATTTTTCACTGTGTGTTTTCCACGGTGGGGTGGAAAAAAACTTGTGAGC